GTGTATCCATTGTTGATGAATTTGTATTCCTGCCTGAAAGGTCTGTTTAGGTGCAGGCCAGGACTTTATGGAGGGAGGGAGTTTATGGAGTTGTTTCCATACAACTCCACTGCCTGTGGAGTTGTATGGAAAAAACAAAAAAAAGACTCGACCCAACATGATAATTATAATGAATTACCATCTTAGTCTAAAACAAAGGGGAGAGCACAATAATAGTTAATGTGTCTTGCTGCGGTGTTAAAGGCAGGAACACAAGCTTTGCTCTGGTCAGTCACAGCTGCCCCAGGTCTAAAGAGATACCTGCTGTTCTGAGCTGGGCAAACAGAGGCAGCAGGACATGGGGTGCTGGCCATGGTTCCCACACTACGGGAATGGACCTTGTAGGCTCAAGTAGGCCATGGCTGCGTCTACACGAGATGCTGACTGTGCAGTAGCTCATCACTACTGCGCAGTACAGTAGCTCGTTACTACTGTGAAGTAACGGCACGTGGCATGAAGCGTGATGCGATGCTACTGTGCAGTAGTAACGAGATACTGTGCAGTCAGCATCACCAAAAAGCTGTTTGGGGACCAGGGCCAGATTAACCTTTTAGTGGGCCCTAAGCAAACCAACTCCTGGGCCCTGGGCTGGCCAAGACCCCTCTCCCCACCCCAGCACTGCCACCCGTGGGGAGAGGGGCTTGGAGCCACAGCTAGGAAGCAGCCACCATGGCGGCAAGGGCAGCAGAGGGGAGGGGAAGGCAAGGCAAGGCAAGGCAAGGGAAGGGCGGCAGACGGGGCCATTTGTGCCACCACTACAGAGGGAAGGGCCAGGGCTCCTCACAGCTCAGGGCCCCAGGCATGTGCCTGGTTTGCCTATGCGTTAATCCGGCCCTGCTGGGGACGCTACTGCGCTGTAACTCTGGTCATTGAGTACTCGTGTATGCAAGTATTAAATAACTGTGTAGTACCAACCGCACAGTCAGCATCTCATGTAGACTTGGCCCAAGCGGCAACAGATGGACACAGATGAGCAGGAGTATAAGGAAACAATGAGACTGGGGTGAGTTGGGGTTGGAAGGGCCTTTTGAACAATTTATGAATTTTGGCTGATATGAAATTGTCACAATAAAAGTCAGTGTTTCACTGAATGCAGCTGGGTAAAAATACCCACCAGGGCCTGGCAGGGTAGAGTCACCTCCCTGCCAGACCAGGGAAAAGGGCTGGCTGTTCAGTCTGAATGGGTGGCTCCATGGCAGGTCTCTGGAGGGGGTCCACCTCAACTGCATGGCTAAACAGAGCACTTGGAGGCTGGGACTTTGCTGGTGATCTCTTTCTATCCTGAACACGCTAATAAGTGAAATACAGTAAAGACCAATAGCTTAATTAGAACAGCTAGTTAGACCTGTAGATGCCAGGACCTGATGTTCAAAATAAACTGGCCAGACAGAATAGAGTGCGTTGAAGTCTCGGAGAGAGCACAGTGACCATCAGTTGTACAGACCATACATTTGGTGACCATATTATTTTTAAGGAAACCCGGGACGCTGGGTTTCAAGTGAAGGAAAAACACCCCCTCTCCCCCCCCCATGTCAGCGGCACTGCTGCAGGCAGAGACAGAGGCAGGCGGGTAGGGGCGTGGGGCGCAGTCTGGCAGGGAGGTGGAACGGCATGGTGCTTCTGGCAGGTGGGCAAGCGGGCACCGCTGCTGCTGTGCAGGAGCAAGGCATGTTGACCAGAGCAGGTGCCACCCTGCCCACATGTTCCCGGCCTGGCTCCACTTGAGCAGCGGCTGGAGGCAGGGGCTGGGCTGGGCATCACTGCAGTCTGCCTGCCTTGCTCCCGGTGCCTGCCTGCCCACCTGGCGCACCATGCCGCTCCGCTGCCCTGCATCCTGTACCGCCTGCCTCTGCCTAGGTGGCCAATCCCTGGACTTTTGTCTGAATTTTCACCAACTGGCTAGGACTGGCCTATGAAATCTGGGACTGTCCTGGCCAAACTGGGACGTATGTATGGTCACCCATACAGGAAGAAAATGGACTTCCCGTGGCTACGTTCTAGAGCCGAATTGAACAGTGACAGTAAATTACAGTGACAGGTGACCCTGACCTGACCACCTATTTCGCAAACTATTTTATTACAAAATGCTACCTGCATATAGATAATGCTATACTTCTTCTATATATTACCTAAGATACTGGAGTACATTTAAACACCAATTCTGGAGAAAATAGATTCCTTATTGCATCTTTAAAAGTGGACAAAGGAATGGTATCATTGGCTTTAAGCCAGAACAACTTCCTTTATTCACAGAGAATCAAGATTTCTTTTGATAAATTGTGCACATCTGCTCTGCTGAGCAATCTTAATGCTGTGCAATAGGGCAGCTAACTAAAATTTATATATAAAAGAACAGCAGACTGGGAATAGCAGCATTTCTCAAACTGCCTGCAGAAGTAAGTATTCATCTCCCTAGTGAAATAAAAACTCATGTCTTTAAAGAAAGCCAGTCTAGACAAGTTAGAGACAAATGATATGGAAGGTATAATAATGCCTGTATACTATGATGACAGATGTTCACAACCAAATGCAGGTACCTTTCAAAAGTAGGGATCATTTATGCAGAAACTATCAATGTCCACAGTTGCTGTGTTTGTCTTGAGAGACAAGAAAAAAAGCAATATATGCTTGCTTAAAGGTCCTCAATATTAATATGATGTGGCTCTGGGACAAAATTTACTATAACAAATGCATATAACTCACCTATACACTGTATCTGATGGAATATGAATGAATTAGGCATCTCAGAGAAGATATAACAAACTTTACCTAGAAGGATGTTGTTTATCTGATTTAATTTTACAGATAAATATGCAAGTGCGTGCTACATCTAGCAACAGCATTGGGAGATGTCATTTGGCATCTGCCAACAACTTACATTTAATAGAGAGTATAATTAATTTTAGAGTGGCTGAAGAAGTATTCTCCATCTCTCAATTCAGGACATTGTGAGCTTTAAGTCGAACTGAACTCAAGTTAACCACTTGTGTCAGGTACTTTCCTGCCTTGAGGCCTACAGATAAAAACTTTCAAAAGTGACTAAGTGACTTCGGTGAGGTGAGATTTTCAAAGGCTTTTAGGCACCTAAGAGAAAAATTGAATAGGGCTGGAATCAATGAGAGTTAGGATTGTTTGAGGGTTTGAAAATGGGACTTGGGTCGAAGCAATTACCTTTGGAAGCTGAGCACCCACAAAACCCAATGGTACTCACACGCCAAAGTTACACAGGAATTTTCCAAAATCTTGTCCTAAGTAGCTGAGTTTCAGGTCAACAGTTTTGATTAAGATCTGACCCCCTTATGGCCGATGCTATGCAGAGGGGCTCCTCCACTGGAGGGGATTTTTCAACATGACTTTGAAGCAAGACCCCTTCATCATTAATATACTCTTGAAACAGCTGGGATAAGTACTTCAGCAAGTCCCTTGTTTCCCTGGAAATGGATGAAAAATTAGCCAACTGTTTTGCAGTTGAAGATTGTTTCATTCTGAGCAGGTTTCTTTTCATGGAGGGAAAGTACAGCTTGAAGGCCAAAATCATGGGACCTGTCTCTAGAGCAGGGGTGGGCAAAATGCAGCCCGGGGGCCGGACGCGGCCCGCCAAGCCATTCTATCTGGCTTGCCAGGCCCCTAAAAAATTTAGAAAATTAATATTTATCTGCCCTGGGCTGCCTCGATGGCTTGCCAAAACTCAGTCGGCGGCCCTCTGCCCAAAATAATTGCCCGCCCCTACTCTAGAGCTTCCCTAGGGCTCTTGAGAGCGCTCCTTCAAACCCAGAAATCAGGAGTAAAGTCATGCCAAGGGTTTTGTTCCCCAGATTTTGAAGCTCCACCACCTTGTTTTTGAGTTGAATGCATCCTGAGCAGTGTTGAGGGGATGGAACGAGCTCTGGGGAGGTGGTACCGACAAACCCAAATGACCCCTTATCTTTGGGAGGGGAAGAAAATCTGCAGTATCATTCCTTACACTGCTTGGTGCTCAGATTTGCCTGTTGATGAGCTACTGTATAAGATGTGGGTTTGTAACTGCTAACAGTAACAAATAATACAGGGCTTTTTATAAGAAATATGGAAACAGGAGCGTTGGCACCTTTTCCATTTTAAGCCTATGCTTGTTTCCACTGTATAGAGGATTTGGGGCAAGAGAGCTACTTGGAGGAATGAGGCGTGCCTTCTGGCCTGACTGAAAACATGGGATTGGGTTTAACATTTGGAAGAACTGAATAAAGGGGCAGTCATTTGGGGCTGACACAGTGACAATCTCCTTCTTACCCAATAACAGTTGAAATTTGAAACAAAGTGGAACTGAAATCATTCCAGGTAGTACAATTTCTTACAAAGGATGACAGAAGCCATGGGCAGCAGATGATCAAAACAGGAGAATGCAGCTTAGATGCAGCATAAAAAGACTCCGCTTGCATGAAAAAAATGGCGTAAATCAGGTGCGCTTCTACTTGATCTACGCATGCAAATGTCGGGCATGGGCACACAAACGGTTAGGGGCCATGTGTTTGCAGACTTGGCTGCGTCTACTTTCTGGTCAAAGCCATGCAGCCATTTCTCTTATGATCACGCAACAGCATGGGAAAGGGACAATATTCGACAAGCGCCTTGTGCAGCCCCCAGCAAGAGCATTGCCCACCGCTCCCCACCCAGCTCTTGGAAAGTGGAGGGCTCTGTCTGAGAGCAGATCAGGGCCTTTTAGTAGCGCTGACCCAGTCACTATACAAATGGGCAGGATTTCCTTGCTCCAGAGCAGGGCTGCCTCTTGCAACCCCTTGCAGCATTGCTCCTCCCTTCTGCTGACAATCCCCCCTAGCCCCCCAAGCACAGCGTTGCTGGATGCAAATGAGCTCCTCCTCTCCCCATGCACAAGGCCCAGCAGCCTCACTTGCTACATTGTATAGCTGCAGGTACAAGAGAGAGCTGTCCCAACCTGCTTTGGACTCCAGCTCCCAGCTCTGGCTGCGCCTGGTTTTCAGGTGCCTGCCTGGCTGGAAGTGCCATGGAGGCCAAGGGTGCTGAGAAGGCAGCTCTGCGAACGCCCAAGTGCTCCCGCTGCCGAAACCACGGCTTCGTGGTGCCGGTGAAAGGCCACACGGGCCACTGCCGCTGGAAGCTGTGCCCTTGCGAGAAATGCGCGCTCATCACAGAGCGTCAGAAGATCATAGCAGCCCAGAAGGCGTTGTGGAGGCAGGGCCCAGACCCCCTGCCGGGGGGGGTGTCGCTACCTGCACCCTGCACCCCAGGCCACGGCGAAGGATGGGAGATGCCTGCTGTCAGCTCCAGCGCCTCCGATCAGAGCAGCCACGCGGTCGGGCATGAGGGAGCCAAGGCTGTCCCAGGACCAGGCGGCAGCAGCAGAACGGTGACCCGCAGGGCACTAGACGCCCCTGGCTCCCCGCCCTTTGGGGACTTCGGTAGGGATCGGCGCAGTGCTGGGGGTGTCTGTCCTGTTAGCCTCTACTGAAGATGGCTTGCTTCAGCCTATCCATCTCTGTTTCCTTTTGTCTGTCTGTGCGTCACTCAGCATCTGTCTGTACATCTGTCCGTGGCGGCTGTCTGGTCAGCATCTGTCCAGCTACCTTTTCTGCCTGCCTAGAGAGACAGAAGTCAACCTGGCCTCCCATGGCCCAGTGCCCTGAGCTGTTCCCCACCCGGGATGTGCTTGGTGCAAAACCTTGGTTTTGCAGTTTCTGAGCTGCAGAGGAACCATCCCAGGCAGCTCTTGTGCTTGTTTCATTGTTTCAAAGCTGAATTCAGGCCTCTGTTCCCTGTTTAGCAGGGAAAGGAGGCAGTGGGGTGGGGGGAGCACAGCCCTGAGTATCCAGGACAGCACCTTTTGATTGCTCCTCTGAGCTGTGTTACTGACTTTAAATATGCACGCATCCCGTCCAGCACAAAGCCATATGCCCCCCTGCCCAGCGCTTGCAAATGAATTGGGAAGCTCGGTGGGAGGCATCTGGGCTTGGTTGCTGCAATAAGGACTAGGCTCAGCTGGAATAATTTGGTGCAAAGTTTATTCATATTTACATATAGGACAAGAGCTGCAAAAGGAAATGTCGTGGTGGTTTCATCTGTCGCCTCTCAGATTGTTTCTGGCAATCTGGTTTTGGGCATGTGATTCCTAAGCAGGGTGTCACAGCACGCTGGGGTGCCTTGGGAGCCTTTCAAGGGTGCTGCGGGATGCTGCACAAAGGGTAGCTGTATTAGGTGAGCAAGCGCGATTCATCAACTAAACCCAGAGCTTGCAAATAAAAATCAGCAGTGTTAAAACCATTCTGACTTGCTGTGGTCTTTCTGAGTTCGTTGCAATGGAAGAATTGGGCCCTCAGACAATAGCAATCAAGAAGACAGACAAAGATAGACCATCTGCTTTGGCAGATGCAGAGGAAAGCCATGTCGGAGGCTAACAGTATCAGCTGATCTGCCAGTGAATGTTTCTTTCTTCTTTTATTTTAATTTGCATGGGCCTCACCAGACTAGTGAATCTCTAGGAGCAATTTGAACGGATGGGGCTAATCTGCTGACAGCCTAGCTGTAAATGAGTCTCCACCTCTGTCTCAGGAAGATCACCGGTGAGGGGTCTGTTTTAAATGATAATAAAAGGGAACTGACTCTAAAAATTAACCCTATAGCAATGACAGATAGCATCAGGCATCAGGTGCTTCGTTCCCCTGCATTGGTGTAAGTAATTAGTGTTGTTGGTGTGCAAGTCTTAGAGGGGATGGTATTTCAGCTGCTGCCACTGGTGCGTAGCAGAAGAAAATCCATTTACTCTTTGTTACCTGCTTCACCCCCTGATTTTCAGCCTTTCTAATTTCCCAGGACTAAGGGTCTAAAAAAACGTTCAAAATGATTAGCAGCTGCATGTAAAACCAATGGGCCAGGCTCGGTGCACCGTTCCACTGTTGAAGAATAGAATCGGGCACCGTGAGTCTTCAGTATTTTGATTTATTGTGATGTTTTCGGTGTGTTTATTTTGACTTTTCCTTCCTGGTTGTTTCACAGCCTACCCTGCTCTGCCTCCAGAGTGCCTGGTTAGCCCAGAATTCCTCGAGCGAGAGCCTCCGAAAGTGTACCCGGGGTATTCGGGTATGTACCCTTACCACCGATTCCCTATGGGCTTTGCCATCAATCAGCCCAGCTGCAAGGGCATACCAGCATCTGCAGGGATCCCCCTCCACAGAGGTTACAGACACGGTCCCAGCAGCCACGTACCAGCAAGTGCAGCTTCTCTGTCGGTAAGGAGTGATTTTTTTTTTTTAAACTGCTGCTGAATATATTGCTCCTTTGCTGTTGGATGCAACCTTGCTGTTAAAGTAACCATGAAACGTTACCCTGGCTACGAGTTTCTTCAAACAGCATCTTGATATATTAAGTAGAAGGAAGCATGACACATAATAGTGCTAAAGGTCTTGCTCCAATCCAGAAAAATCAAGCATTGTGACTGGAGGGTCCAGATCTTGCGAGTGCTCTGAGCACCCAGCTCCTGTTGTCTGAAAAGATATTTCTGGATGGAGGGGCCTTGTAGGAAAAGGTTTCTTAGGGAAAATTGCAACTAAAGTGTGGCTTTCTGTCAGCGTAGGTGGCAACCAAAATGTGCAGTGGCATTCCCCAGTGAAGTATCTGAGACAGAGCTCATGTCCAGAGCTGACGACTGCAGAAGTTCAGAGACCAACTTCCAAGGGAAGTGGTGCTGGCTCCTACCCTGGGGGTCTTTAACAGGACGCTTGATAATTACCTAGCTGGGGTCATACGACCTCAAACCTACCTGGGGTCACATAAGCCCAGTATTCATTCCTGCCCAGGGCAAGCGGTCGGACTTGGTGATCTACTTAGGTCTCTTCCGACCCTACATCTATGAAACTATGAAGAGACAGGAGGATCCAGACTGGGGCAATAAGGAGTGGACCCAGATGGGAAGAAGGCGGGTTGGGAGAAGGCAGTACAAAGCTTTTATGATTCCCTGCTGCTGCAAAGCCCCATGGGGCTGTGATATTAAGAAGAGCAATTGGGGGCAGCTTCATGGCTGTTTTTTTGTGGGTCTTGATTTCCTGCTGTAGCAGCAGAGAAAGAGCAGTGCACATAGCTTGGCCTGCATCACTGCAGCATACGAGAGATGGGTCTGACCCTAAAACTGCAGGTCCATGTTTTACTGTTCCTCAGAATTGCTGCATATACAATATGTTGGGACAGAAATGGCAGAAGTGTCCAATGAAAGAGACACTGCCGAACAACTGAGACCATTCAGTTGCTATTTTTTTAATTAAAAAATATATATAAGATTTTGCAAATTAACAGAATGTGTTTGTGACTCTTAAAAGGAGATTTAAAGAAAACCATTTTCCTTGCATTTAAATAAAATTCCATCTCTCTCCAAGGTAGCAAAGCTAAACATGCAGCAGGGTGCTGGGGCAGAAGGGGGAAATGTCAGTGTTTAGCAATAGCAGTCAGCAAGCACCTAACATCTGTGCAAGTAAAATGGAGTCAGTTGTTGTGCTGGTCCAAAGTCAGAGAATTGCTAAGAGGGAAAACCAGAATATAAATGATGAAAAGTAAATGTTTCCCTTCGCCACTTTACATGCAGTAGCCCAGATGATGTTCATAACACAGGTCAGAACAATAATACATTAATGGAACAGGAACAGTTAGCTCTTACGTAGAGTGCATTTCCTCAGTAGCTCTCAAAGCACTTTACAAAGCGGCTCAGCAGCATTTACCCATCATCTTTTCATAAGTACCATCACATGATATAAAATTGGCTGTACCCATGTTTTCCATTTTCCTGTCATTCCTGCATCAGGTCCTTCAAAGAGCGTTTACCTCCAATCCCTGCCAAGCCTGGAAATCCTGTTTCTGTGTCAGACGAGGGGTTCCTGTTAGACTAGAGCGAGACAATGCAGCGTGAGATAAATCCAGGCAGCAGTTGTAGGTCCGTGTGATGAGCCTGCTCTTTTGTGAGACTGCTGCACTTTTCTCTTCTGCTCTCAGGCATTGGAAATATAGCAGCCAGAATTTTCCTGTGGAAAGTTTCTACCAAATAGAAAAAAAGAAAAGAAAACTGTTATATCTTGTGGTTGCACAGTGGTGGGGAGATCAGACTGGCAGAGAGAACGCCACACAGCTTGTATAAACGGTAACTTTATAGTTTTGAATGGAAACCAAAACTGAAAGTAAAACATGGGGCGCAGACAGAAGAGCAGCTCCCTGTTGCAGCTTGTGGCACTTTGCAGGAAGCGCTATGAGTTGTGACATTCCCGCCGACCCAACAGAAGTTCACTGGTGGGTCGGGGAGTTGGGGATTCCAGTGAGCCTGCGCCCAGTCTCCGTAGCAATGCCACTCACCCCTCCCAGCCTGGATGCTGTTTTCCAAATGGGAGGGGAGGAAGGAAGTAAAGGGAGCTTGTTTTGGGGAGCTGGAGGGTGGGGTGGGTGGATTGGAGCCCCTGCACCTCAGGGGGTGGGCTCCAAGCCACCTCCCTCACCCTCCAGGATTGGCTTAAAACACCTCAGACCAAACTCCATCTGTTCCTTCCCTCCCTCCCCCCCATTATGAAAGCAGCAACAGGATGGAGCTCCGCAGACACAAGTTACAGAACACACGCTGTTTGGGAGTGTGTTCATCTGAACTCTCATTGCATGAGGGTTCAGATTTTCACGAGGTCGGGCCCTTTTAAAGTGGTCTGCAGCCGTACACTTCTGTTTGGTTACGTCTGTAGAGTGCTTTCTGGGGCCAGATCAGGCGAAAATTATCACTTCTGTCTGTGCCTGTGGTGTCAAAGGAAGCGCAAAGCCTAACCACGTTTAAAGAAATGGTACCATATTTAATTACAAATGTACAACACATCACAAAATCCATCTAAAATTTCCATGGAAACTTGGCCAGGGTTCCAAAATGGAACATTTTAGAACTTTTTGTTTTGGAAATGTTGCTGTGGTGCCTTACGCTCGTCTGTTTTCCCTCTTCTTTGTGGCCAGGTTCCCTTGTTAGACCAAATTTTCCAAGGTAAGTGGGGACATGATGGTTAATAAAGTCCAACTTGGGGGGCCTGGTCGATGAAGGAGAGCGGGGACAGAAGGACACTTCCAGTTGTTAGTGTGGCTGGGGCGGGGCCATTCTTAATGTGTCAACTTCAGGGATTTTGATAAAAACACATGTGCTTATGAAAGTGAGAATCTGGCAGCACTGTCTGGAGACTAGCAAACTAAAACCCAAATAACTGAGAATTTTACATATTATAGTTCAACATGTCAGTGTGACTCCTTGGTAGTAAGCACCTGTGGCATTTGTTAACTGTACAAGGGCCAAATCATTAACAGCGGGGCAGATCTTCAAGTCTTCAACTCAGGCACTCAGATACTTTGTTGATGGGTATGGTGTAAAACATGAGACCAGCAGCCTAGCCTCTTATTGACTTCAGTGGTACCTGAGTTATGATTTCTAGATTTCCCTGGAATAGGAATTTAATAGTGAAAAATCTAGCAAAAGAAAACGATTACCATGTCACACATCCACCTGTGAAGTCAGTTCTGGCCTCTCCTTTGCCTAAGATGTGATCAAGAGCAACACGATAGAATTTGCTTGACAAATTTCAGAAACTCTCTCTAATGATGGAAGTTAGGGCTTTTAGATAACTCAAGACAAGCACAGGAACTTATAGCAGGTCGCATTGAGTGCAAAGCATAGTATAGTATTACTAGCCAATTGCCTGTCAAGAATGAAGGGTGGGGCAGGAAGCTGGCAGGGGTGGAGCCCTGGGTCCCATTAGGGAGCAATTCTTCCATTGCAATGAACTCAGAAAGACCACAGCAAGTCAGAGTGGTTTTAACACTGCTGATTTTTATTTGCAAGCTCTGGGTTTAGTTGATGAATCGTGTTTGCACACCTAATAGTGCTACCTTTGTGTGGCATCCCCACTTGGGCCCCCGCCCCTGGGCCCACTCCGTCTTCCCTCCTGCTGCTTGGGGTCCAGGCCTGCTCCCCCCTCCCCGCCGCAGTGGTGGGGGGAAGGGAGGAATGGGTCCAGCCCCGGGAGGAGTGGGCCTGCTGTGCTGGGCCAGGCTGGGCCCACTGTCCTCCCGCACCCTGCTGCAGCAGGCTGGCTTTTCCCCCAGCTCAGGCTCACTCCCCCCTGCATCGGGCCCAATCCTCCCTTGACCCCACTGTCACCGCTGACACCATGGTGCGCCCGCTCCTCCCCCCCCACGTTAGGCCCACTCAGGGATGGGAGGATCTGGCTCAGGGTCAATGTGGAGGAGGGGGGTGGGGGAGGAGAGGGCCCGGGCCCAAGGGGAGGAGGAGGCCCACTCCTTCCCTCCCCCAGCTGCTGCCATGGCTGTCAGACCCGGCCGCTGTCCCCTCCCCCGCACCACTGTGGTGGGCTGGCCTTTCCCCTGCTCTGCCCCCCGCGTTTCATAGTTTCATAGTTTCTAGGGTCGGAAGGGACCTGAGCAGATCATCGAGTCCGACCCCCTGCCATGGCAGGAAGAGCACTGGGGTCAAACGACCCCAGCAAGGTGATTATCCAGCCTCCTTTTAAAACCCCCCAGGGTAGGAGCCTGCACCACCTCACTTGGAAGCTGGTTCCAGATCCTAGCCACCCTGACCATGAACTGGCGCCTCCTGATGTCTAGCCTAAATCCACCCTCTGCCAGCTTGTGACTGTTATTGCTGGTCACTCCTGGCAGTGCTCGGGGGAACAG